TTCTTTATAAATAGCAATATGGTATTTATTGATTAAGTATAACTTATAAGAAGTTTTGGATTGCTAAATAAAGCTTGCCAAATTAGTTTTGTATTTTGGGACATACCTGCATAGCTTGGTGCGCGGCAGTGGTTTCTTCAGTCTGTATCAATATTAAAAAAAACAAACTACTAACGTAATTGGAGAATCTGTTGGACTAAATACTTCCCCCCCACAAACCTGTGGATTTGTTAAATGTCTATTTTTTATAAGATGCTTTACTAAACAATTATAAAAATCCTATTTTAGTGGTTAAAAAGCAATGTTCAGTAATCCTTGCATAGTGTTCTACATATGCATAGAAGGCTATTTGCACAGCATAATAGGGTGCCGGATTTTGATGCAACATTTACATGATTTTACTCTCTTATTATGATATCTATTACTCCTGTAATGCTGCTGATGTATGGAATTTATTTAATTCTAATTATATTTTTGCATGCAAAAGCATTCTAAATGCCGCCCATCCTTTCATTCATCTGTATTGCATTAAGTGGAATGTTCTTTTTGTTTATTTATTAGATTTATGTGCTGCCCATCTTGTCTAGTGGCAGCTCTTGTACCCGAAGGATGCTCAACTGTGATACAACTGTGATTTATTACATCAGTGATAGTTGTGATTTATGCAATCACAAATGTCTTTATATAAACAGGGGCAAGCTGCACATTCACCAGCACAGATTATTTAGTTGGATAATGAAACATCTTCAAGCAAACAACCAAAATCAGAGAGTACCAAACACTCCACAGTTCAACAGTGAGCTACAGACATTCTCTTTTATTGAAATCATAAGGGCATCATGCTGAAGTGTTGGGAGCCAGAGCCTGATGTAGTCTTATTTGTATGGACTGCACATATAAAGGAGAGACATTAGAAATGAGGATTGCCTTTTGTAATCTGTGACAGAGCTTGTAACATGAATGTACAATCCAGAATGCTTGCCTTCACATCATATTGTATGACTGATTTCATCAGCAGAAATAATTATATTATTACAATAGATAACATAAATGTAATAGGACATAATTTGTACAGTACTGTTTTTATATTTTTCAAAGCCACTCATACTAAGCTGCCATTATATTATTGGTAATATTGCCAGGATTTTTCTCCTTTTGTTTTGCTGTCTATCTATCATGGTTGTACATTTTATCTCTCGAGGTTAAACTCTTTGTTACTTTGGGGAGAGAAAAGATAGCTCTGCATGCTTTTCTCCGCTCTCAAGCATCCAAATGTTTGGCCTATGTTGAATATACAATCATATAAAGTGTGCATAAATGTACTCTGGTAGTGCAGAATTTCATCCGGAAAGTCATACTGAGAGAACGTATATTCCAGAGAACGTATTCTCTAGTGTTCACTTTCCTCTACTAAATGCTACCTAAATGCTACATTCTGGCTAAATGATCTTGTAGGCATCTTACTTACAGATTGAGAGGAGAATTATATTATACAGTCCACTATTCACAATTATAACACATACATCCTATATCAAGGATGTCAGACTGAAATAAATGATTAAAGAATAAATGTTCTTATTCAAGAAACCTATGAATTAAAAGCAGGTTCATACAGGGACTGAAGCATTTGAGAACTATTAGAACACAGTGGAAGCATTCAATATGTAGAATTCTGTAGAATAAATTCTGTAGAGTAAATTCAATTCAATTTAGTCCACATTTTACAGATGTATTGTGGGAGTTTTCTTTCAGCTAGTCTCTGCATTTTGCACCTGGTCTGCAAAATACTAAAAATGAAACAACGTCTGCTCCATCTGTCTCCTTGGTGACAAGGGGATCATGCTGCTTCTGAATTCCTTCTTCTCCCATGATAGACACTTATTCTAAATTTAACCTTGGGGGGGGGGAGGGTTGCTTATAGAAGAAAATATAAATTGATATTTTTAATATCGCCCAGCTGATATAAAATATATTACAGCTATTTGATTTATTTAGCACAAATGCATAACAGAAACCTATTCTGTTTCTACATTTCCATTNTACTATGTCATATTAACATGAGAGAAAACTAAAACAAATTGGAAGGAGGATCCACTTATTATCAGTGAGCAATCATGTGCCTTTCCCACTCCAAAACAATGCAAGAGATTCCTGTCCCAAAGGTGCTTTTTCAAAAGGCAACTGGACTTTCTGGAAACCAAGAAAGTTCAGTTGCCTCTTGAGAAAAGCTCCTTTGAGACAACCATGACCTGGATGGCTGAAGAATCCCCACATGACCACAGGACACTGCAATCATCATAAATATGAGTCAGTTGGCAAGCATCTGAAATTTAATCACATGACCATGAGGATGCTGTAATAATTGTAAGTGTGAGAAACAGTCATAAGTCTCTTTTTTCAGTGCCATTGTAACTTCAAACAGTCACTAAATGAACTCTTTTACTTTTTGTTTTTAAGGATTTATAAGAGGTAATGTGATAAACCAAGATCATTAATATATTAGTAACACTCAGCTCTATTTGTCCTTATTTGGGTCAGATGAAGTGGTGCCGATGTTGAACTAGGCCAAGAAATCATGCCTTGATCCTCGTCAGATGGAGATCTTATGATAGCTGGGTTCTGTATCTGTACAGCTTGTTCTAAATGAAAGGGTGAATGTCTAGCCTGGAAGTCTTTTAATCAGGTCTTGTCTTTTAATGTTTGGAAGCTTCTGGATCATTCTGTTCTTGTAATAACTTCTGTATGATGTTTACCTAATATAGTTCATGTTCATTAATTTTTTTATTACTGCCATATATGATTCATGTAGAATGGCTTTGACAATTACCAAGAAACTTCAGCTAGGATAAAATATGTTAGCCATAAGTAAAACTGATACAGCGAGAAGTTTCATTCTGCACTGGTCTTTTCTAAAACCAATAGGAGGTACTAGTGCTTATCTTTATCATTTTAAATAACTGAAATTTAAAAGACCTCCTTTGCTTATTTATGATTTAGCATTAGTCTGTTTTACATCTTCTCATAAAGATAAAACTGCACATTTTAATTGAATTAACTCTTTATGCCAACATGGAATTTGCCTGATATACTACCTAATATATGGATATACCATCTAATATCCATATGAAGGAAAAGCCATTTAAAAACTGAAGTAANGCCACCTTGGCTCTAGAAGACCCTAGTACTTGTGTTTCCTTATTCCACTTTGATAATAATACATTATTTTTCTAGTTCCAACACATTTAATGCTTAATTCTCAATGTAATTTAATCAATTAATCAAAACCTAAGTTATTACTATTCCCTCTCCATTAATATATTAATTAATAATACGTTACATTAATAGAAGATTCTATTCTAGGGTGACAAAACAGAATAGTTTCTTTTAGAATCCAACTAATAATATACCATCATATGAATAGGTTTTCTGCACTTTGTTCACATAAAAACAACAATCTGCCCTTCTCATTTATTTTCCAATCATGCATAACTTGCTAAGTATACTGATCTCATCTTTTAAATGTAAAAATGAGTTATGACAAGATTTCATAAGTAAATAAGCCCATTAAAGTGGAATTATGATCTCCCAGCTTCAAAGAAATAAGCTCATACCTATGCGCTTCTCACCTATTTGATATTCTACTTGGACACCTGTTTATCTGATGATTTTTTTGAAGACACGTTTTCAAAGCATTGTGAATGTCATCTTTGAAAATATTACCTCTTTTTTTCTAAGACCAACACCTCGAAACAGTAACCCTATTTCACCCAGTGGAAAAAGAATCCAGCCTATTTATCTGAAGGATTTCTAGAGGGTTTATAAATTATTATCATATAAATGGATAGTGAATTTGGCTTTATGCCAGAATTGGTGAAAATGGTTTTAGCATCTTTCTACCCATTATAAAGAACTTCATTTTGCATGAGATTGGTGCCATGCTCCTTAATAATTAATTAGGGAATTAGTTTCTTCTCAGAGTTGAAAAGTTACCATAAATAATTAAGCATTCATATCTGTAAAAATGAAGATATAGGCAATTGTAGATCATAGGTCTAAGTGAGGCTGGTGGCATAGAAGATGGAGAACATGAAGATTATTGCCATCGTTATATAAACTCTCATCTGATCGGTATCATGGCTGATTATAAAGTCCCAGGTTTTGTAGGTTTGAAATCCAGGCACTCACAATAATCTTTTCTAAGCTCATGGTGAAATAAATGGCAGAATTTTCCATTAGAGCCAGGATCAGATTTCTTTCTTCTACTCCTCAACTGTGTTGACCCCATATCACTGCCGGTTTTTTGTAACGCCATATGTTAAACCTCAGAATTGTGGGAAACTGTATGGCCATTTTTTGGCAATTACAACTTCAAAGTTAGCAGCACAAAATTGTAAAAAGGAGTTGGGTTTCACATGCTGCTTGCCCTTTTCTTTATTGGCATTTGTTGATGCATAAAAACTGGTAGAGGGGCAGGATCCCAGAATCAGAGGGAATGGGGAAAGATATTTGACAAGGCAATATGCATTGCATCTGTCAGAGGAAAAAACAAGAAATTTGTAAGGCTAACAGGTGAAGGAAGCACAAATAAAAAAAGAGGGTAGAAGCGATGTAGATTTGAGGGAGAATGGAAAAGGTGAAGGTTGGAAAGTAAGTCCCATATTAGAGTATCTAGAATTGTGCATATTATATTGTAAGCTGTTCTTGATAGGTGCTAGTCCAGATGGATAGGATTTAAATGCGATAAATATATGCATTAATAAAAGTATGCTATTGATGGGGAATCGGGAAGCATTATGATTAGCTGTGAAGAGGCTGAGTGGACAAAAGCCTGGGAGCAGAGTTGATGGAGGAAGGGTAAAGAAAGCATGACAGAAGTCAGAAGCCTAAGATAACAGAAGAAGAGGAGTCATGAAATAAAAGAATGGAGAGAACAGGTCATAAAATTTAGGACAAGATAGTGAGATGATGGTAGGAAAGATGTGGAGACTTAGGGATCAAGGAGGAAAGGAGACATTGGTTTTCTTCTATAGATTTTCATGGAGGTCTTTAGCCATTTTGATAATACTATATTACCATTCTATATTTAAAGCTTACCTCTGTTTGAACCATGTGAACCCTGTGAAGCCTAAGATCATACACTGCCCCATAAATATCCACAGAATCCTTTGAGTCCAACTGTTGAAGAAGTCGATCAAGTGCAATGAATGTCCCTGTTCGACCAACACCGGCACTGAAAGAGAAAACAAGAACAATGCCACTCCAGATTATGTCTCCATGCCTTTTTTGCCAATGTCATATGGATAATCAGTTCAAGTTAAACTGGGATTGATATTCCTTTTTATTTTTTCAATTTCAGGAATGAAATTTAATGATTTACGGTTTGCTGTCGCCCTTTGCAAAGAAGCAAAAACACTTTTTAAAATGAAGGTATCTGTGTATTTTTGAAAATACTGTTGTGCAGCTCATACCTGCAATGAACTACAGTTGGCCCAGCCTGAGGGGTCCGATTGATATAATCTCTTACAGTCCTCACAAACTGAATGAGCGACTGGGTGGTTTCTGGTACACCATGGTCTGGCCATACAGTGTAGTGAAATTGACGAATAACTCTAGAAGAATCGAGCTGCTCTTCCTATTAAGTCAATGAAATAAATATATTAGCCTGGGAAAGAGACACTACAGAAGATATGAATAGTTTTGGAGAAAAGTTTTTCATAAAGTATAAGTACATAATGGGTGCTTTACTGGTATAAAATGAAAATGTTCAATTATTTATATGGCATAATAAAGTTGACATGTTGAGAATTAAGTGACATGTTGATTTCTTGAAATATCTATGTTATCACTATGGTATAAGATATTGTAATATTTTTTCAATTCACAAACATCAATTCACATCACTGAATTGTATATAAGAAATAGATTAAGAAGAACAATATTCAATAAGTCTCCTTAGAAGGAAACCCAAATGGATTTACTGAAGATCTATTCTTAGATTAATGGATATAGCTGTCTGGCTGGTTAAGCAGGTTTAGACCAGATTATTTGGTTGAGTGGACACCTTTAGGAAACATTAGGGATATTAGTCAGAGTGGGAAGAAAAAAATGTGGAAAAATGGACCACTTCGTACCATATTGCTGTCATAAATCTATATGGACTACATATTGGGAGTTGAAAGTGTTACCTTAAATAGGCATGGAGCTGCACCTCTTTCACATTTAACAATAAAATGAAATAATGTATCTTCTTTGAAACATTTGATTAAATAGTTGGAAATACTTACACTGGAAATCTTAAACTCTCTTATTGTCCATTCTGGGAGAACTGATTCAGATAGCATCTGGACTATTAAATCACCATAATATAAAGAATCCTGGTCAAAGGGCCAATAATGATCACATTTTACCTAGAAATTTGAAAAAAGTTTGCCTTTAAAATTACAAAGCTGTATTTATCACTATACAGTTGAATAGCTGTGCCATCATTCAAATGAATGCTCCACTTTGTGGGAGGTTAGAGCGAAACATCCTCTCAAAGCAATTGTATATACTTCTCATTTTTAATCAATGCAACCATGTTACTTTGCATTATTGTGCTTCAGAGACGGCTATGATACTTCTAGGTTGAGTGGTTTCAGTAGATGTGGTAGGTTTGCCAACTGCTATTTACTCTGAGCTTCCCGAAACCTGTCAAAGTTTTTTGGCAATCTTAATCAAATACTGTGTAACTGTGCCATACCTCATGTTAAAATCACTCCATTTGGAGTGATCACATCATGTATGTTGTGATATTTCAGGCTGGATTGTTTCGGTGCATGCTTCAGGCCATCATGGGGGTATTTGAGCAGTGCTAAGTGAGAAAGTTCAGAGCTTGATTGCAGAAATGGGGAAGAACCCTTCACACATAGGACTGAACTGAAGAAGTTTGAGGCAATGAAAATGGTTTTGCTAAAGTGAATTTTGGCACCGCTTCACTTCTATGAAGAGAATCACACCATCTCCTTGGTCAAATCTCTTAGTTGAAACAAAACAAGTTGCTTTGCAGAGATCAATGAATATATACTTGAATTTTATAGCAAATTATGCAGAATTCCAGATACAGATGTTTATAGTCTCATTTTCCTAATCTAGAGAAGAATGTACAAGCACCAGGAGACTGTGAGTGATTTTGCTGGGTGACTTTGCATCAGTCCTCCTCTCTCAGCCAGTGGTGGGCTACAAAACGTTTAACAACTGGTTATCTGCCCTAATGGCTGGCTGTATGGGCATGGCCAACTCGATGTCACTTACGTTGAGGGGCGCTTCACCTCATCTGCTCTCTTGTGACTATGAGGATGCTGCAACAGTCATAAGTATGAAAAACAATCATGTCACTTTTTTCAGTGTCCTTGAACTTTGAATGGTCACTACATGTGTTGTAAATAAAGCATTACCTGTACAAAAATGCAAAAAACTTCTTTGCTTGCAAAAAGCTGCCCTAAGTACCAGTCATTAGATTAGAAATGGGGGAATACACACTGAAGATCAATGAATCACAGCCATCATGGAAAACTAAACCATTCTGTCTGAATACCTTATTTTTCCTCAGCAATATCTGCAACCCAGAGTTACAAATCAGGCAAAGCACATTGAGAATTAAAATAGTTAAAATAGTTAAAATACAAGGATAACTATCAGCAGCCAAGTTACTCTTGCTCATAAAATGAAACCCTTTTTGTAGAGAGGTCATTTAAGCTCTCTAGAAAGTGGGTGGGCATATTTGGACTACAAAATGCGGAGCTAAAGAGACAAATTAACAAATTAACACCTTGAGTGAGGGCTAATCCCATTCTGCCTTTGTTCAGACCTTGCTGCACGGAATTTTTGCCTTTGAGTATAGCTATCCGTCTCTTTCTCTCTTAAGTGCTGACATCTTCTGTGGGCTATTAAGGAAGGTGGGGGCTGCTTTCTGCCTCTAAGAAAACATGTTTCTCCATTTCTCATTCAGGGAAATATATTCTTCCTTTTTAATTTTTCTCAATATTTCATTCTTCTAGGAGAGGGGTGGGTGCTAACTTTCTACAATTGGTGCCATGTTACTATGTCATATTAACATGAGAGAAAACTAAAACAAATTGGAAGGAGGATCCACTTATTATCAGTGAGCAATCATGTGCCTTTCCCACTCCAAAACAATGAAATTTTGAGAAATATTAAAAAGGA